AGACCATTCACACCTGTCCCTGAACAATGCAACAGGCTACCACTCTGACCCGGCGTTGTAAAATTACAACATAGACATAATAAGCTCTAAATCAAATTTGATTGTTTTCCACAATAACTAAATATTTTTGTGTTCTAGACATTGTAATAAACACACAAAAAATATTTAAGGAATTTTACTTACTTGAATCTTGACAAATCCAGTCGTGCGAAAAAAGGAGATCAGCTCGATGCGAAGTTTGCAGGCAGAGTAAGTTCATGGCAAGATGACCGACCTATAAACACTTTTTCTATCCAAATAGCATTGTGAGGACAAACAATAGGACCCACTGAATATGTAAATGTGGTTTTGAGAAAAAAAAACATTTGCCGACCTTTTTTTAAGAATTGTCAAAAGTGATGTTGTAATTCTGCAACAGTGGGTCTTACAGGGTTAATAATTGCATTTTTCCCTTTAAATCAGTGGAGAGTGAAACAAGGTTGCAGCGCTAGAGACACAGCTGTAACCTGTTCAACACCATATATGTGCCACATACAAGCTGCTTACCAGTAGAGGTGCTCCTCAACCATTTTGGTGATGGCTCGGGACACAGCTCTCTCCTGCGGGGTGAGGTTCTTGTTGAGGTTGACGCCCAGCTTCTCTTCCAGGAAGTCCACGATGAACTCTGACCCTGAAGCTTGCTCATGGTTGTACTCAATCCAGGGCATCTTACCTTGTGGTGACAGCTTCCCATCAAAGTAGTTCTAGAGAGGGAAATGGTTTCAATTGAGAAAATGTAGGACTGTGTTTCCCGTTGTTGTATTTCAGTTGTTTCTGACCGGCAGATCATTTGAGGGGTCGCAAGAAGATTTAATGCTCACCCTGCTGATTTTACATCTTAGATTTAGTTTTCGTGTTGTGAGAGTGCTGCTCAACCTGCGAGAGCAAGTGGGCTCGGACACTACAATTGTATTACAGTAAGTTGAGGGTTGTGGAGTTTTAAAGATGTGGGTCTTTACCAAGCAGGGAAAGCATGACACATGATGCCACCGAGTAGCATTATGGGAACTGGAGGAGCCAGTGGCTTTGGATACTCAAATGTCAGCATATCATATTTATTGCTTTGATTTGGAGCCATTATTTTAATCTGTCTCTTGCAAATCACCCAAATTTGTGGGAGAGCAATATGCAATCACTGTGTAGTCCCATTAACAGACCAGAAAACTGTTAGTCTTTTTCCAATTTGGTTTTCTCCAGGGAACTGCTGAACACTTATCTTTGAAGTGATGTTAAAAGTCAAAAACCAGTTGTAAAAAAAGAAATGTTTCTCTTAAAGAAAGTCATTAACAGTCGTCTTTCTAGGTCTTTAAAATGGAAGAGCAGTGATGTGAAAGGAGGTCATCCTTTCTGTGAATATATGACTTAACCAGCCAGGAACCAGTAAAGAAATAGGACTATAAATGATCTTACTCATCATTAATCAAGAGCATGATGACACCTTTGGATGACACACGTTTTAGTGCAACACCATGAAAAATCTTCTGGTACTCAGGGAGGAATGTGTTTTACATTTCTGGCAGCAGTAGTGTCAGTGTTGCTTGGAATAAATTATTAGAAGAACTGGGTGTTTATGGCTGAACAGACAAACTACAGACACTCAAGTTTCACCAACAGAAATTCCAAGAAAGACGTCACAGTAGCAGACAAGCTGTGTGATCACCGGATGATCTCCATGGCAACATGTCTGAGTTCCTGTCTGTTGATTTGTGCTGCACACTGCAAATCACCTGGTAGGGCAGATCCACCATGCGCAGGTACGTCTCTATTTTGAGGCAGAAGGGCGAGAGGCTGGGAACACCATTCTTTGGCCTGGAGAACTGGTGGAGGATGATGGCATCTTTAGAGTCCAGCTCCTGCTCCTTCCTGCACAGTGAATGGAGACAGCAAACTCACATTCAGTAAATAAACAGTATGATACATGATTTGTATTTAAATTTGAACATATACATTCAGTTATAAAGTATAACTGATGGCGTCAAACCAAATGTTAAGCTAACAAGGCCACCTTAAATAAAAGGACATTAATGTGACAGTATTATTAGTGCTAAAAAAATTACATGATTGACAGTAAGCAAAATGCACTTAATCCTAACAGATAAGGAAGGAAAAGGATCACAGACATACCAGCTTAAGGCTTTGTTTTTACAGCAATGGATTCTTTACTCATGATTAATGAGGAAAACAGGCTTTGACATCCTGCCAACTATGCATAAATACCAGCAGGATCAGTAGTAAAGAGACCACTGATACAAACACCAAAGTCACCAGTGGTGCCCTTTCGGTAAAATCTGATGTAATGTAATGTGTTTGGCTCAGAGCGACACAGTTCTTTGTTTAAAGGTAAGTGATTGCTGAAATTAAATAGATTTAGTGTTATAGTAAATAAACAAGGTGTTTCTAACTCTGTAGTAAATTGTCATCAGTTTGTGCCTTTATTTTTTTTAGTTTTTCTTTATCAGTATTACTTCATTCAACTAAAGCAGCGAATCAGCATTCTCAGTTCTTGCTTCTTATTGTATGTGACGTCTGTACAGTAGTGGGGTGAGGTGACAACACTCGTGATGTATTAAGAGATAAATGTCAGACACACTAGAAGAGAAAAGTGAAATCTTCCTTGTTCAGGGTGGAACATATTCTGCTTAAGCAGTCTAGACAGTCATAATATCTTACAGATAGTTGTCACTGTTAGTCACACACCCTGTTGCCATATTGCCTGTTTGCCTGTATCCTTTCATTCTTGGTCATTTTTCTGTATGCTCCTGTGAGAGTATAGACACTGACCTTCCAGCTGGAATACACATGCTTTAGTAAATTTAGAAAAGGCACTTTGACTCAGTGCTCATTTCTGACCCAATAGTTTATCAATATTCTGCCACTACAGTGTGCAGAATTACTGTTTACAATGTCACAACTATTTTTTCCCCTCAATGTTATATATGCTGCAAGGGGTAAAATGGGACTTTACAAAGTAGCATTAGCATCATTTGCCAGGCTAAATAGACCAGACAGAGCCTGTCTGTTCTGTTTAGCATCTCCTTCATCACTGGTCAATGCTCTTCAAATTTGAATAATGTCATCTGGTCTTATTATTAAAACGTGGTGTTTTTAGTGAACTGAAGAAACCGATAAGTGACTTTTGTGCTGGGCTTTGCAAAAGGCCTCAAACCCATCAAAACTGCTCGTTGACTGCTCGTTTTAGTCCTGTTTAAGAGTTTCAGGGGCCTCTTAAACAGCTCAAAAGACATAATTAATATTGTTTAATCATTCTGACACCATAATTCCTAATTTTATATGAATTGGTTAAAGATGTGATTCTAAATTGATGTAATGCTTCATATATTTGCTATGAGAAAATGACACATTACTGTCATTTTAATTACTTTAATCTGTGAATAACTTTGCAGAGATTCAAAGGAATAAAATACATTAGTACATAAACTCTGGGAGTGTGTGTGTGTATATAAGGGCAAAACATTGGTGGATTTTGTAATTATTATTATTAGACATGTAGACAAGCAGCAGTGGAGGCTGTAAGACAGAGGAACAAGGAAGGTGTCACTGGTGTCAAACCAAATGTTAAGCTAACAAGGCCACCTTAAATAAAAGGACATTAATGTGACAGTATTATTAGTGCTAAAAAAATTACATGATTGACAGTAAGCAAAATGCACTTAATCCTAACAGATAAGGAAGGAAAAGGATCACAGACATACCAGCTTAAGGCTTTGTTTTTACAGCAATGGATTCTTTACTCATGATTAATGAGGAAAACAGGCTTTGACATCCTGCCAACTATGCATAAATACCAGCAGGATCAGTAGTAAAGAGACCACTGATACAAACACCAAAGTCACCAGTGGTGCCCTTTCGGTAAAATCTGATGTAATGTAATGTGTTTGGCTCAGAGCGACACAGTTCTTTGTTTAAAGGTAAGTGATTGCTGAAATTAAATAGATTTAGTGTTATAGTAAATAAACAAGGTGTTTCTAACTCTGTAGTAAATTGTCATCAGTTTGTGCCTTTATTTTTTTTAGTTTTTCTTTATCAGTATTACTTCATTCAACTAAAGCAGCGAATCAGCATTCTCAGTTCTTGCTTCTTATTGTATGTGACGTCTGTACAGTAGTGGGGTGAGGTGACAACACTCGTGATGTATTAAGAGATAAATGTCAGACACACTAGAAGAGAAAAGTGAAATCTTCCTTGTTCAGGGTGGAACATATTCTGCTTAAGCAGTCTAGACAGTCATAATATCTTACAGATAGTTGTCACTGTTAGTCACACACCCTGTTGCCATATTGCCTGTTTGCCTGTATCCTTTCATTCTTGGTCATTTTTCTGTATGCTCCTGTGAGAGTATAGACACTGACCTTCCAGCTGGAATACACATGCTTTAGTAAATTTAGAAAAGGCACTTTGACTCAGTGCTCATTTCTGACCCAATAGTTTATCAATATTCTGCCACTACAGTGTGCAGAATTACTGTTTACAATGTCACAACTATTTTTTCCCCTCAATGTTATATATGCTGCAAGGGGTAAAATGGGACTTTACAAAGTAGCATTAGCATCATTTGCCAGGCTAAATAGACCAGACAGAGCCTGTCTGTTCTGTTTAGCATCTCCTTCATCACTGGTCAATGCTCTTCAAATTTGAATAATGTCATCTGGTCTTATTATTAAAACGTGGTGTTTTTAGTGAACTGAAGAAACCGATAAGTGACTTTTGTGCTGGGCTTTGCAAAAGGCCTCAAACCCATCAAAACTGCTCGTTGACTGCTCGTTTTAGTCCTGTTTAAGAGTTTCAGGGGCCTCTTAAACAGCTCAAAAGACATAATTAATATTGTTTAATCATTCTGACACCATAATTCCTAATTTTATATGAATTGGTTAAAGATGTGATTCTAAATTGATGTAATGCTTCATATATTTGCTATGAGAAAATGACACATTACTGTCATTTTAATTACTTTAATCTGTGAATAACTTTGCAGAGATTCAAAGGAATAAAATACATTTGTACATAAACTCTGGGAGTGTGTGTGTGTGTGTGTATAAGGGCAAAACATTGGTGGATTTTGTAATTATTATTATTAGACATGTAGACAAGCAGCAGTGGAGGCTGTAAGACAGAGGAACAAGGAAGGTGTCACTGAGAAAATAAAGCTATTAGCAGAGTGGGTCTTTTGGTTTTTGTTTAAACTGGTGGATTTTGCCACAATGTTCACCTGAGGCTTTCAGATGTTTCCCTGTTATGTGACTGCGCCACCTACGTGGACTGCGCCATGTTCATGGACTGTGTTTTGTTTTGCTCAGACGCTTTCAGGGTTGTGTACGTCGCTGTCCACAGTCATGTGGTGCTGAAACCGGTCCAATTGCACTGCGCATTTAAAGAGCTCTCCAAACAGTACCAATGTCGGAGAAGCTGCTGCTAATACCAACAACACATCACATGGCATGATCAGATGCGTCGGCAGGCCTCAGGAAGCCTGCAGGCGATTCACCATTACTGCACGGAATGCAAGGTTACACAGATTATCATGGAGGGAGGGGGGTGAAAGTAGAAACTACCGGGGCCCTGTAACGGGATGTACTTCCCGGATCTGGCCTGGTCCACAATAACCCCTCCACTAGCACGCCCTCCATGCACTAACCCAATCACTTTTACATCGCATGGACTGATCAAACCTCATTCATCCGCCATGATTCAGCAGGCTATAACTGTAAATGTAGGTTCTTTCTAGGATGCACTGTGTTCGCTAAAGCTAGGTGGGACTCCGCAGCGCCCGAGGAGCGCTTTGTTTATTCACGCTCAGGAGCCGACAGCGCTGGCACACGAGCTGACACACGGGCGGACGCGACTCGTACAAATGTAATCATTTTTTCCACATAATGTTGCGTCCTTGGATAGAGTGAAACCTCAGCAACCTCCCCGAGATTTGAGGAAATTAAGCTCAATCCCATGGACGCAGTCCTATAGCAACCGATAGTTTCATTACAGCTCATTCCAGTGACACTGACGAGTCACTGTTACCAGGTGTAACAATTAGACCCACAGCTCCAAAGGCTAAATAAAACCAAGTCTCGATGATAAACAGACCAGGCGTGCAGGGCGTCCCTACCTGATGGCGAGCAGCTCATGCAGTAGGTAGGCTGCAGCAGCCAGCAGGGCCCCCCCGGTGATGTACAGGGTCTTTTTCCACCAGGAGTCCGAGCCCAGAAGCGACATGATGCCTCCGTAGTCCTGTAAAGGGAAGGCGATGATATAGCCATACAAAGACTGCTGCTGCTCGGAGGCGCACAGTTCGAGGGGCAGGCTGTGATTTCGCCCAAGTTCAACCACACACGGCCGGGAAGAGGCGAAGCCAGCTGCCCAGTACATCCTCCCTCCGTCAGTCACAACCACCCCGCTTCCTCCCTGCTGCACTCCCCGTTAGGCTTCATGGAAACGGCCGGCGGGATGTCCACGGCATGGCTGCGGGGTGGCAAATATTCCTTCAGAAAACCAAAAGAAGTAAACATCTCCACTCCCACTGCCCAGGATGATGCTCAGCACCCTTTCCTTTGGAGCTTGTAAAAAGTATTGCCAGATGAGCCAGAAACACTGTGGCCAGACTTCCGGTCACCAATTTCAAATCAAATTTCACTGTTATTGCAACCATTAAAGTGTAAATCAAAACCCGTTTTTGAAACTCACACTACTTAAAACAACTGTAGCACAGGCTATGTAGCAAGCCACTGCAACTGTCAGGGATATGCCAGCAATTTGTCACTGGTATTGTTCTATTTTACTACTGGTAAGCAGATTTTCTTGGACTCAACAAACATCCCATTCAGCATCAAAGCTCATTCTTGACACTGGAAGTAGATGATAAAATACAAATACAATACAATTTTAATTATTACCTTTATTTTTAATGCGAACTTGGGTAATTTCCGGTGGTCATGTGTTAAATTCTGGCCGCTTGATTCAGCCTATTGTCTTGTTCCAATAGTGTCTCCCCTCCCCACCCACCCGCGCGGTGCCTCGCCATGATGAACCTAACAAATACGAAGTGCCCCCGACTTTCACAGGATATGAAACTATTTGGCAGCTTCTTTATCCGCTGCAGCCTGTTTGTATTGGCGTAATCACTGGAAGTAACCAATTACACAAGTAAACAAAATGACC